ACCTTGTTACCGGAGCTTTCCATTGCTTCACCGGAGTCTCGCCGGAGAAGATGAAGCTTCCTTCGTGAGAGAGAAAGAGAGAAAGGAGAGAAAACACACACAAAATGAAAACCAAAATGCAACAGTGGAAAAGAATGAAAACAAAGATGAGAGGGACATTTTCCGAAGCCAAATTCATTGTTAACTTTAACGAAAAAAAATATTTTAAATAACCCAATAACCTTTTGACACGTTGTCAATTTTTTGTCAAAATTGCGTTGTTAGAATATCGCGATCCTTTAAGATAATATATTTTTAATTAATAATTAGTTTTAAAGCGTGTTTATATATATATATATATATATATATTTAAATATATTATATTACAAGACATTTAGAAATTAAAAAATATTTTAAAATTTATAGTTAAATTTTAAATAAGAATTATTGGAAAGTCTCTCTATATATTATAAATATAAATGTAAAAGAAACTAATAACATTTTAATATTACTATTATTATACAAAAAAGATAAAGTAGCTTTTGGTGTAAAATGAAAAAAAAAGAGAGTAGTGAGTTAAATTGTATGTGTGAAAGTAAAACAGAGAAATGATTTTTGGGATAAAAGAAAAGGTATAAATTTAAATGATTAGGTCTGGCGGGAAGGGGTGAGTTGGGAATGGAGGAAGATGAAATGGTTTGGTGTTCCTCTGATTCTTGTTCTTCTGATTCGGGAGAGGAAGACATCGAAGAACGGAAATCGCAAAACGTGGATGCACTAGTAAGGTAAGCAAACTATTTCATAAATTATTATTCCATCAGGATTGAATTGTTGAATTGAATTGCATTGCATTGCAGGGGTAATCTTGTCGTGAAGAGACAGTCGCTGCTACCGCGGCTTCTTTCAGTATCGCAAGGGGCGGCCGTATGTAGAAAACCCTTTAAACCTCCATCCTCCAGAACTCATGCTTCCACTTACAATCAAGACCTCACTCGGAGGCTTTCCGCTCGCAAAAGGTTTGTTCCCTGGGGTTCTTCCTCTCCTATTCCTAGACCTGCGATCTCCGACTTCCAATTCAACCTATCGGTAACTGATGTTGATGTTCCTGTTTCTGAGGAGCCGAAACCATCTCTGCCCCCGGGGATCGACCCTTTAGTACTGTGGCACCCTCAAGACTCCCACGATGACCCCTCTAATACTAATTTTACCACCATTACAGTTGACCCTTTGCTTGTTCGTTACCTTCGTCCACATCAGAGGTCACCATCCTTTTATCCCATTGCTCATACTTTAACTCAATTCAGTATCAACCAAATAAACTTTTCTTTTATCTCTCTTGATGCAGAGAAGGGGTTCAGTTCATGTTTGATTGTGTCTCTGGTCTGTGTACCACACCAAATATACATGGATGCATTTTGGCAGATGATATGGGGTAACTTCTTTACTTGAAATCTTGTCATTGTTACAGTATCCTTTTCTTCCTCCCCACCTTCTTTAATCATAGGGCTCCTTTTGTTGCACAGTCTGGGGAAGACATTGCAGTCCATCACATTACTATATACTCTACTTTGTCAAGGGTTTGATGGCAAACCATTGGTTCAAAAATCTATCATAGTGACTCCTACCAGCCTTGTCAGTAATTGGGAAGCTGAAATAAAAAAGTGGGTTGGTGAAAGAGTTCGTCTTGTCGCTCTATGTGAGAGTTCAAGAGAAGATGTTGTCTCTGCGATTGACAGTTTTACAAATACCGAAAGAAATTTACAGGTTATAAGTTTCTAATCATTATTCTGTTGCTTAGATATCTTGGACTACATGTGTACTTAGTTAGTATTCCCCAATTTGTAGGTTCTCATTATTTCATATGAGACATTCCGAATGCATTCTTCAAAGTTTAGCTCTAGTGACTCATGTGACCTTCTCATATGTGATGAGGCTCACAGATTGAAAAATGATCAAACGATAACAAACCGGGTATTGTAATTTGTAAGACTTATTTTCTCTCCCTCCTTTGCTGGCATGTTTCTGAGTTTCTCACTAAGCTTCCTGTATTAGGCATTGGCAGCTCTTCCCTGCAAACGAAGAATTTTATTGTCAGGAACTCCCTTACAAGTGAGGATATATGCATGATTATCCATTTGTGTAGTCAATTACAATCCAAAATCCTCTTAGTTTTTATTCTTGTTAACTTTCATGGACATCCGTCACTTGCAGAATGATTTAGAAGAATTCTTTGCAATGGTTAACTTTACCAATCCTGGAATATTGGGCAGTATTGCACATTTTCGACGTTACTATGAGGTGATTACTTTTTATATTTTCGATGCGCATTGTTGCAAAATCTATAGCTTGTCCTATGTCAAAAAATCAGAATATACCAATAATTAGGAAAGAGGAGTTATCCAGTTGTTAATATATAGTATGTAAGGAATATTTAAGATAACAAGATAAACCAACTTCAGAATGCTTTTGCCAGATGTGATGCTGGAATAGGACAATGGGTTCTCTCCCGTTCTCTTTTATTCTAATTTTTAGTTTTTTGCTATGGTTTACTTGAATTTTGAAGGCACCAATTATTTGTGGAAGAGAACCTGCTGCCACTGTTGAAGAGAAGAAGATAGGTGCAGAACGCTCTGCTGAATTAAGTGTCAATGTTAATAGGGTAATGTGTGCGATTGGGATTTTACTATGTACCTTTTGAGAGCTGTACTATTTACTTACCGCAAGTGAAGTTGTAATCCTGCTTGATTAAAATAGTCTAGTATACAGCAGATAGCTGAATGGTAATGAAGTGCAACAAATTTCTTTTGTGTTCTGATAAGGAAATATTTTTTTCCTGAAGATTGACTGGACTATATAATTTTGCAGTTCATATTAAGAAGGACTAATGCATTGTTATCAAATCACTTGCCACCTAAGGTATTGTACTTTTCTTTATCTTTCTGCCAAACTTACCGAATTGTTGCTCTGTTCAATCGCACATTCTTTTGCTTTAAACAATAACTATCTGTGTGTAATATTTCACCCCTGTATTTTTAATTGGAGCATTCTTCTAAAATTAATTCTTACCGGGCGTTGAATAATCAGAAAAGTATGCATTTTCTTTTTATATGATAAAAGAAGAAATTCATTAAGATAAAGAGAAAAGTGCAAAGGCTTAGGAGGATAAGAGATCCCTTTTAGAAAAGAAAAAGAAAACAAACAGTAGATAGAGACCAAATTAAAATGAAAAAATCAAAGCTACCTGATCCTTCATTGTATCTGTAAGAGAAAACCTTCAAAGAGACTATGTGCTTTACACCAAGTAGAAGCTAATCCTTGAATTCTATCCAAAGGAAGCTGCTCATTCAATGAAATCTTCAATAATGTGAAAATAACACAAACTGTAGAAGTTTGCTGATACCCTCAGCCACTGGCCAGATTAAATAAAGTAGCTTTTACATACCAATAAATCTATTTTGTTGATGTATTTGAACTGATTTTTTATTTTTTACATATTATTATATTGATTTGGGCCCTTTAAAGCACATGAAAAGCAACTGGGTAGGTAATTGGTGGTTAGCTGTGCTCTTAATCTTAATCCACAACCTATTTCTTGTGGTGCAGATAGTTGAAGTTGTTTGCTGCAAGTTGACTCCACTACAGTCAGACCTATATAAACATTTTATACAATCGAAAAATGTAATGTCCTTTTTTGATTGAGCTAACATATTTTTCACAAGGTGCTTTACACTGTTGGACATGGATAAAAAAAAGATTATCAAAACTGAAAGGATAAGTCCATGTCTTCACAGGTGAAGAGGGCAATTACTGAAGAACTAAAGCAATCAAAGATTTTGGCCTACATAACAGCTCTCAAAAAATTGTGCAATCATCCAAAGGTATAATCTGGATCTTTTTCTTCTCTGGAGGAGGGTGTGTTGAACTTGTTTAATTGGTCCTGTTTGAATATTCTTTTGGATAAAACTCACCTTATAGTGGTAGATCTTAGTGTATTGAACTTTTTCTAGGAAATGTCATCTAGTTCTCAATGAACCTGTAATCATTAATTTAGTTAGATTTTTGTTTTGTGCATCTAACTAACTCGTACTGTTTTGTGGCCCTTTGTAAGGGTGAACGGTGTTCATACCAAAGATGCACATGAATGCAACATATTACAGTGTCTGTAATAACCCTTATTGTTGAATACACAAGATGGTTCATTAATTTCTAGCTTTGATTTTGTTCTTTGTTCTTCATTTTCAGTTGGCATAATTCAAGTATCTGTTTGACATGTTCTTTTATTGTTTTTGGGCTTTTTAGTTGGCACTCAAATCACAACAGTAACTATTTCTTGGACAATTTTTTCCTTATACGTAAGAGTAAATTTTGGTACCATTTGTATGGGGAAGTTGTCTATTTTTGATCTTATATTTTCATCTAATTTCTCCTCATAACCCTAGACCCTGTACTAAAAATTCCGATGGAAATCCATCTTCTACCTTCATGTCCAATGATGTAAGTTCCATCCATATTTTCATTCTCACAATTAAATGTCTTGTAGCTTATCTATGATACCATACGAAGTGGCAGCCCAGGAACTTCGGGTTTTGAGGAGTGTATCCGATTCTTCCCACCTGAAATGTTATCTGGAAGGTAGATATTTTTAGTTTAAAGTTTTAGCTAATCACTTGACATTTTAATTTACGCATCCTGTGATGTTATACATTGTAGGTCTGGCTCGTGGACCGGAGGACATGGAGCATGGGTTGAACTATCCGGGAAAATGCATGTCTTGGCAAGATTACTTGCTCATTTACGTCACTGAACTAATGACCGCATTGTCCTTGTCTCAAACTACACTCAGGTATATGGTAACAAATGTGAAGTTATAGGTTCTCTTTTTTATTAACCGTTTTATCTGATATAGGTGACTCTATAGAATAAGTTCCATACTTGATGTACGTAAGCATCCTGTATATAATATTCTTTTCAAAAAAGAATCTCATAAGGCTTATGTTTTCATTTATTACTATCAATCATCGTACGTAGATGAACTGATTTTATATTATAGCGTGGTAGTCATATGGCACTCGAGTCCCTTCTCGAGCTAGCCCTGAAGATTTTATATAATAAAACAAAAGTATCACACCCTTGAAATTAGAAGAGTAAAGACTCTGTTGATTGAAATGTAGAAAATTTATACAAATATTTACATCCAAATCATGCTACCCTAATTATTCAGATAAGGAAACAAATCACAGATAGTGAGGCTCCCAAATTAAGGAAATAAGGAAAAAACAAATCACAAATTCAAACTATACATAATCAATCCCCTAATTGAAGTAATTACAATCACAATCCTACTTAATTACATATCGTAGTTAACCTTATCACATACAGCCATGTATCTCCTTGAGCTGGTGAATGAATATATATTTATTTGCAAGTAAGATTGCAAAGTCAATCTGTGGAGATCCCTATGGTAAACACATCTGCACCTTGAAGCCACAAAGGGATTTGCATGATAGTTATTATATACCACTCTTAAATTTTCTATGATGAAGTGTCAGTCTAGTTATACATGAGTAATTCTGTCATGTTGTACTGTATTGTGTGCAATGTTGATGGCAAAATTTTTATCACAATGTGTCCTCATAGGTTTGTCGTACTCTATCTCGAGGTCTAGTATGATCTTCATCCACAACATTTCACAAATTTCATGAGCAACACGAGACTGTTACACACTTGATTTTACAGTTATAAAAGTACTTTACAAAAGAAATTGCTTCTCCACGGTATTGGACTCTGTTAAAATTGTGATTATTATTGTACAAATTTCATAAAGCTGCTTTTTGGGCGTATTTACATAGCTTAAGGATTGAGTGGTATAGGCTACAGCTATTGCTTGTAGTCACACTTCTCATGTATATAAAATACTAGCTGAGAATAGTAAGTCACTGATTTTTATCTCTTCTAAATTGAAGTTGGTATTAGAGTGGGTACAATCCCACTCTATGCTCACCCGTTGTCAGACAACCACTGTATGTTGTCTCCAGACTCTCTTTGCTGGACAAAGAGTTAGGTGCTCCTCAAGGTGCCTGACTCAACCCTGGTAACTAGCTGATCTCTGCCAGCACTGCACCAGGCATGTGTCCTAGATGTTGCCTCCAGGCATTTGTTTTTGGGCACATTTCTGCCCTTGGTTCCTTATTTCAACATCCTTGGATATTTGGTCAAGTCTTTCCTCACGGTTTAGGGTTTTCCTTCTCTGAGATATGTTCATCTCTTTGTGTCCTTAGAATGGTGTTGGAAGTTCTGATGAAACCAATTTAGAGTATATAAGTGGGTGCAAATCTCACCTTATAAGTTGGTTTTATAGGATTGAGTTAGGCTTAAAGTCCACTTCTTAACATGGTATTAGAGCCATCGTTAACAGCCTATCTTAGCGAAATTTGTTAGACATATTGTTCCACTCGCTAATGGACCGTAATCGGACCATCCGTTAATGTCTAGTCCCACACAAGAGATGTAAATACCTCGGTGTTAAAGGAGTGTATTGGAAGTCCCACATCGATTAGTGATAAGGCCAATTTAGAGTATATAAATGGATGCAAACCTTACCTTATAAGTCGATTTTGTAGGGTTGAGTTAGACTTAAAGTCTTAACAGATGACTTCTGTTAGTTGTTCCTTCCTTCTCTATTGCTGTTATTACCACTGCAAAATTCAACTAGAAGGATTAATTGTCTTGGTACGCCTATATGGAGTTAGGGTTCCTTGGTCTAGGATACCATGACCATTTGGAGAAGGAATGCAGTGCTATGCCCCCTGTAAATAAATCTTGGTGACAAAACCTGGACTTCAAATTGTGTTTTTTTTATGACAATCAGTTGAACTGAACAAGATGTCTTAGAGATACATAGGCCGTTGAAGATGTGCTCTTCTTTTTAGAAGGCCCATGGTATTTTTGCCAGTGACATTTCAACGTCTCTTTGATGTGAATCAAAGATTAGCTTCCTTCAAAAGACCAATTATGATATAATCTCGGCCTTCAGTAAACGGACTAAAAATATTTTCTGTGATAGACTCACAGGATGATATCAATAAAAAACTTGGTAAGTTAAACATTGTCCTTGGTATGAGAAGTCTGCACTAATTTGATCATGTACGTTATCAAATTCTAGTCAATGGACAACTTAGTCACTAGACTTCTTTGAGTGTCTATCTTGGTAAAAGATGAAAGTGCAATTGAAGTTATTGAATATTAAGCAATGGTATCTCTTCATGGAAGTGGAGATCGTAGCAATCATGGAGAGCATGGTGGCCAAAGTGAGCATCCTCCTCAATGCACATACTACAAAAGAATGGGTCATATGTAGGAAAGTTTCTTCTACTCCTTGCATGGTATTCCAAACTAGCAACCCACGTTCTAAATCTGAAAAAAGAGATTCCAAGTTTTCTGATAAGGGGGTATCAAGAATTTTTGAGACTTAAATTTGAATAATTCGACTATCAAGTTCAATTTTCTTTGGCACTAAATGTTTCAACACCTTGTATTTCTCAATCTGTGGAAGGTTAAGGTCCGTTAGATAGATACTTGACTTAGTGTCTCCGATCACATTTTTAGTGATAAATCTTTTCCTTTTATTTATTTATTCTCCAAAATTCTTCTCTGTTATTGTAAGCAATGGATCAAAGATGCATCTCAAGGAATTGGTCAAGTTGTATTATCTCTTTCTTTAAATCTTAATTCTGTCTAGTACATTCGACATTGTTCTTATAATTTAATCTTTTTAAGTCAATTAACTCGTTCTTTTTGATAGTCACAGGAATTTTATAGAACCACTAAAAGTACAACTGGAAACAAGACTCTGTCTTGTAAATCTTTATTGCTTCATTTTTAATTCTGCACCTACGAATGTACTAGGCATAGAAATGGCTTAGAATGTTCGAGAGAACCTCACTCTCCACAATAATCTTAAACTATTCCTTCTCTTCCTCCCCAAAAACTTCCTGCTCACCTCCTAATAAGACTATTTATATTAGTCTCTTACAGTTATTTAATTACAACTGTACTAATTACTTTCTCTTTTCATTCTTTTGTAAACTGTACCTATAATACCCTCCCCGTGAAGATTCACCTTGTCCTCAAGGTGAAATTTTGGAAATTCTATACGAATGCAGGTAGCAGATTCCCAACTATTCTCATTATTTCGAAGATGTTTCCATTTGATAAGAACTTAAGTCACCTTTAGTGGTCTTTCTAGTATCTAGCAGTTGTCTGGATATACTTCCAGAATACAGTCTTTAGTAAGTGGAGGAGGCAGGGGCTGGGTAGATGTGGCTGGCTGCCCTTCTTGGATTAGTGATGCTACTTGTTACGTCTGGGGTCTCCCCTTTTCCTCTATTATGATTACGTGCAACAATAGAATTTCCCACATCTCTGGAGAAACTTATAATTATTGAATATGGCCTATACACACTACTGCTCCTGTTTCCATTCGGTGTTCCCCCTTTTTAACATAGTGGGTAAAGTCTTCTTACTATTGCAACTTTGAAAGCATCCCACGTGTGATTGAGGTTACATGTTTCCCGCCATTAAAACCTATTTAATACCTTTCCTTCCAAAGCAATCGTCATCGCTTGCATTCTTTCTTCAGTAACCTCCTTCAACTGAAAATATTGCTCCAGCCTATTTGTCCTCCGATAAGCTTTTTCACCTGCAAAGACAGGAATATCAAGTTTCCTCCATTCGGATGGCCCCTATCTTCTCCTCGTGGTCCAATTCTTTAACTGTGGATGAGTCGTCAGATGGTTTCCCACCACGAGATATCTTTTCCACAACTACCTTGAGTCCACTATTCAAACTCTCCAGCCACTGGAACCTCTCATGATGTTCCTTTTCTGCTCTGTCATGATCTTGAACTAGTTCTTGCACTATCCTTTCCAGCGCATCCAATCTTGATTCCATTCTTGTACTCACCATGCTCACACAGCTACCACAAGACCAAGAAAGAAGCTTTGAATACCAGTTGATAGAACCACAAAAAGTACAACTAGAAAAAATACTCTTGTTGCAAATCTTTATTGCTTTATTTCCAATTCTGCACTTACCAATGTAAGGCGTAGAAATGGGTTAGAATGTTACAATATATTTGTCCCAGAGGTTGTTCGAAAGAACCTCACTCTCCACAATAATCATGAATTTTTCCTTCTCTTCCTCCCCAAAAACTCCCTGCTCACCTAATTAAGACTATTTATAATAGTCTGTTACAATTATGTAATTACAAATGTACTAACTACCTTCTCTTTTTCTTTTGTAAACTGATAGGATATAATGTGATAGGTAATAATGGGTAATGTGTGCAGAATAAAAGGAAACAATTTAGGAATTAGTTGTGAGTTTTGGTTTGTTGGTTGAGGGGGTCTTTATAAAAAGGCAGGGAGCTCTTGTGTGAAGGCACTTTTTGATAATCTTGTAGATTGAGCTTTGGCTCTTTGTGAAGGGAAAACCCTTGGAGGAGAGAGTGCTCTCCTATTCTTTGTGTTCTATACAGTCTATACAATAAAGAATATTACTTTTGTCTTTTTTCAATTATGGGTTCCTATCAATTGGTCCGACCTGCCGGATACCCTTAGGAGAGGACAGCCAGATCAAAGGTTGCAGATCAAGAAATGATCAAGAAAGGGTGGAAGCATGGAAGGAAGAGACAATACCTTGGAGAGGAGGACCGACAAACAGAAAATGAGCAGGATAGAACCAAAAATGAGCATGGCAGAATGGAGAAGAAATATGCAAGAAATGCGGCAGGAAACCAAAGAACTCTTGTGAGTTCTTGGAGGAAGAGTGTGGAACCAGGAAAAAGGATTAGAAGGCAGTCCAAGGTTTGAAGATGGAGATCAAGATTCTGTTAACAGAGGAAAAATAGAAAGGAGAGAGAAATTTCTTCAAGATATCTTGAAAGGAAAGAAAGAAGGAAAGATAAGGACGGAGGCTAGGCAAGATAGTCTGCTAGACATCAAGAAATTTAAGAAACCTTCATATGGAGGGGAAAATTCAAACAATTGGGAGAAGGAAAGAGAAAGAGATATCAATGCAGAAGACAAAATCTGTGATGAGACATTGTTGGTGTTGCTGCCCAGGGAATGGCAAAAGTTGTTGTTTCTGGGAAGGAAAGAAAAAGAGATATCAGTGCAGAAGACAAAAACTATGATGGAGACATCATTGGTGTTGCTGTCCAGGGAGTGGCAAAAGCTGTTGTTTCTGGGAAGGAAAGAGAAAGAGATATCAGTGCAGAAGACAAAAATTGTGATGGAGACATTGTTGGTGTTGCTGCCCAGGAAGTGGCAAAAGTTGTTTCTAGGGGAGATAGTGGGGTAGGTTGTGGTGTGTATGTCAAAGTAGTGAAGAAGGGTGAAGACAGAGGAAAGAAAGCAGAATATGGTGGGAACAAGGTGACTATTATGACTGGAAATAAAGTAGAAGATGCAATTGTTTTGAGTGGGGGAAAATTCACCCAAGAATTCAAGATATGGTTGTCACAAACAAATAAAACACCAGAAGACCAATGGCAGGGATATTTCTTTGCAAAGCTGCAATATAACATTCAGAGGAAACAGTTAGCTCAACATGATGATGATGAAGGAATTGGATGGTCAGATCAACAAGTTCTTTCCTTTTTAGCTTCTAGGATGAACAAATCTAGGCAAGGAGAGGGCTTAGCCAGTGTTGATGCTATAAAAATACAAAAAAAGTTTTGGGTTTGGAAGAAGAGAAAAGAATTCTTGATCATTCATCAGAAAATTGTTAAAATCCAGGCCCATGTAAGTGGTCACTAGGTCAAAAGGCAGTATAGAACAATCATATGGTCTATGGGAATTCTAGAAAAGAAGCAACTGTTAAAGGAGTCAACAATTCTTTCATATAGACCACCACCCAAGCCTCCAGACCTGAATTGGAGGGCAACATCCAGTGGGTTCCCTTCCTATGATGAAGATGAGCCATGGGAACAAGCATTATTGTACCAACCTTGAGGACAAGGTTGTTTTGCAGCAGGGTGTAATGATAGAATATACTGTGATAGGTAATAATGGGTAATGTGTGCAGAATAAAAGGAAACAGTTTAGGAATTAGTTGAGTTTTGGTTAGTTGGTTGGGGGGACCCTTGGAGGGAAGGAGCTCGTGTCAAGGCATTTTTTGATAATCTTGTAGATTGAACTTTGGCTCTTTGTGAAGGGAAAACCCTTGGAGGAGAGAGTGCTCTCCTATTCTCTGTGTTCTATACAGTCTATACAATAAAGAATATTACTTTTTTGTCTCTGGGTTCCTATCATAAACTGTATCAAACCTATTAGTATTCTACATGAGTCCACATGTTCCTACCCACTACAACAAAATTGATATTTCAAATAGAGAGTAAATATCTTATTGAAACTTGCACATTCCTTAATGTTGAATACAAATTTTCTTGTACATCATTGGGGAGAAGCATCCCTCACTGATTTTTTTATTAAATATATTGTCTTCTTCCTCTCTTGAAAATGAAATTCCTCATTCCATTATTTTGTTATGCTAAACTATCTTCAATGTAACAGACTCTCGATCTTTTTGCTCAATTGTGTCGCGAACGAAGGTACCCTCATTTGAGGCTTGATGGCTCCACGTCAATTAGTAAAAGGCAGAAGTTGGTCAACTGCTTTAATGATCCATCGAAGGTAAAATGCTTACCAATTTATAATTTTGCTCACTTGGAATTCATTACGTTTTAATTATGATTGTCCTTACATAAAAATAACTGATATGTTGCAGGACGAATTTGTTTTTCTCTTAAGCAGCAAGGCTGGTGGTTGTTGACTCAATTTGATCGGTGGAAATCGACTTGTCTTGTTTGATCCTGATTGGAACCCAGCAAATGATAAACAAGTAATAAATACCCTTGGTTTAGTTGTGACAATCGTTATATGCTTGTTCTTTCTCTCTCACTCTTGTTCACATTCTTTTGTTTGTGTTCGTTCTTGCCAATAAACAGGCTGCAGCAAGAGTATGGAGGGATGGACAGAAGAAAAGAGTTTATATTTATAGATTTTTGAGTGCTGGAACTATAGAAGAAAAGGTATATATTGTTGTGATAATTGAGTAAAGACAGTGCATGTTACATAAGTTATTCGTTTAGCTTCACTTCTTTCATTGACTCATTTTTTTTATATTTTCATTTACGATCCTGCTAAGTAATGTGTAGGTTTACCAGCGTCAGATGTCAAAAGAAGGGCTGCAAAAGGTCATTCAGCAGGAGCAAACTGATAGCCTTGTGTCACAGGTTTAAACTGCTGCTTCTTACATGTGTTCTAGTTGATGATGCTTATTCCATTTCTTAAAATCTTATTCATTTTTGTCGTGCTGTTGATTTTCAGGGTAACTTTCTTTCAACAGAGGATCTTCGTGATTTGTTTACTTTTCATGAAAACATCAAGTAATGAACTCCTTCTCTTTGATCTATATTTACTGATACATATGTGCAAAAGATTAATGTGTTTGGTATCTGGAATTTAATGGAAAGGGGGAAAGAGAAAACAAGATAATTGATAAATCTCTCAAGATTCTCCATGTGTTGAAAGTAGCCAAGATCAAATGATTCATTCTAATTGCAATAGGATCCTCAAAATCTCAGATTTTTGAAATCCTTGAAACTGGTGAACTGAAGATAGATGCAAGGAAGGAACAACAACGACTAGTTTCTGCACAGCCACTGGAACATCTGAATATGAACATATTGCACTATTTCTTTGCGATTATCAATTTGAGTCTGTTATTCTTCTGTTTCCCTTTACCATACGAATTAATAAATAAATCTTGTTGGTCATAGATTCATCTTGAAAACACACAAAATAATCATAAAATAAGTTTGTCATTGTGCAATTGAATCATGGTTGATATTGATGGTGTTAGTAATAGGGTCAAAAGAAATGACACCCCTCATCTTATGTATTGTCTATCACAGCATGGATCTGCGATGTTTACTTATTTATCAATCTAATGTCTACTTTATTATGTTTCGTTAGGTCAGAAATTCATGAAAAGATGCGATGCAGTCGATGTGAAACACATGGTGGTCCTCAAAGCACTGATGTCCAATCAACAGAAGCTAATGAATCTGGAGAAGAAACCTCCGATATAGGTGGATTTGCAGAAATTGCTGGCTGCTTACAGAATTTAAAAAGATCAGAAATGCAGGTTGCTTTGTGCATTTTTGGATATAAAGTTTATGTACGCTATAGTTTAAAAAGTGGCGTCCTCCTCTTTTGGGTAGGATGGACACCACAAGAGATAAGTCCGCGGTGAAAACCACAAGGAAAGGTGTCCTTGAAATGTTACTAAAATTCAATGAAGAGCTACCAAGAGAGAAATAATCTGAAGGTTTTTTTTTTGGAAATAAGATGAAAGTAAAGAAATACAATTTGAAATGTTTTCAAAATTAAACTACAAAAAAACAAAATGTATATTCAAAAGTTTATGATTGGTTCAGTAACTCATCTGTGCCGAACCTCAACTATTCATGTGTCTACCTGCACTTTTTAGGAGTAAATAGTCGCAATTCTTCATAGCGTCAATTACAAATTTTGAACTGAGATTATCTTTATTTACTATTCACTCAATTTGATTGGAATCAATTATTCTCAGTGTGATGCATTCCTTGATTTTGAATTGAACTAGGCAATGCTCCTTTGCTACTAACTCTTGTATATTAAATGCTTCTTCGGCTTTCTTTTGCTCTTGCTCTTGTAATTGGACCAATTGAAAGGCTGAATGGGTCACGAGTATTAGGCTTTCCTGCATGACCTGCTTCATCTTCCACTAACAAGCTATTTACCTGCGTCTGCCTTACCTCCTGATTCAAGGGAATTCAAAAAACAAAAAGTGTAAGTTTTGACTCCTTACATTTGTTTCTTTTTCAGGTAGGGAGCCCATTGGAAGAAGATTTAGGAAGTTGGGGCCATCACTTTTTACCTAATTCAGTACCAGATGCCACCCTTCAGGCTTCAGCTGGTGATGAGGTGTGCCCTATTTTGTTCCCTTTTCTTACCCTAGAAAACATGTAAATACCTAAATAGGAAATCTGCCCATGATTATACTGGACTTGCAGGATTATTCCTGTAGTCCATTCACATCACAACGCTTGAGAGTGATAAAATTGGTTGCATTATCTGCTCTATATTTTCAGGTGACTTTTGTCTTCACAAACCAAGTTAACGGACGACTGGTACCCATCGAGTCTAAAATGAGTCCCAAGCTACAGAAAAAGGAACCAAATAAGGAATTACTCAAATCAATGCCCACTCCTATTTCTTTGCAGAACGGATTACCGGTGCAGTCTGCTTCTGGTGTTGCTAGTATGTCATCATCCACTCCCAATGTAAATTCTGTGTGTATTAGCAAAAACATCTCCAATCACTCTCTTGTTAGTAAAGTATTACCACACAAAAGATCACGTCCTGCTAATATCAGTCATAGTAATTTTAAGTAATATATTTCCTATTTTTCACCCGTCTATCTCTTCATAGAAGCTTACAGACCAAAATAAAAATAAAAATTGTTTTGGTTCAATAATTTGTAGTCATTTTCAGAACTAATTTGATATATAAAAAAAGTGAGAAAAGTTCATTTTATTTTGTATATTTTTAATAATTCCACCCAACTTTTTTTCTTTTTTTTTTAATTCTTATAATTCATCACGGATTAGCCATTATAACTTTATATTTTTCAAATGAATCTACTTATTAAATACCGTTTTTACAAAAAAACTACTCCCTGACTTTACAAAGGGAAGAATAGACTTGGCCTCTGTTGTGGAAAATAGTTACACAAGCATTTTATGTAAATGTTTTCTTTTTGTTAAGAATATAGAATTTCTTATATTATAAAATCTAATGGAATCTTATACTCTAAGTTAGATTTCTCAACTTCGGGATCGAATTGACAAACAGCTGTAAAAGCTTCGATTAAATTTGATTCTTTTTAGAGAGAAGCTGAATGAATTAGTGTAATTAAAAAGACTTGTTGATGTCAGTAATCATTTTCTTTATTCATACTTTTTTCGGCTAGACTAATCTCTTATTAATTATAATTGTTTCTTAAGAAAATATGTGACGAGATATGAAAAAAGTAGGGATATTTCTTCCGGCATCTCCATAATTTATCCCTGCACCTGACATCATCTTATTTCCATCATCTTTTTCCTTCTCCATCCGCACTTTTCTCTCTCCACCGTCTTCTCTCCTTTCTTCTTCCCACCATCTTTTTCCTCTCTCCGGCGGCAACTCCCCCATTCCACGCACAAGATCTTACTAGCCAATTTATAAGAAATGAGATACTAGCTCAAGAACATTTAATATACTCTAAATATTTAATATTCAATTACCCACATTTCCATTAAAATCTATCACCTCATCGCACAAATATAAAACGATGAATCAGTTTCTTTCCGTAATTGAATCTCATTATCTACAGAAACCTTTCACACGAAAAGGCAGAATATCCCATTCTATCAAATTATCATGCGTCACATCTTAATTATTATCCACGGAACTGTGTATGTAACAAAATATTTTATATGGAACTTAGAACTAGTCGCAGTGTTGTCAGCATAACTTCACAAAAAAGAAACTGAAAGATTGTAAAGCTGTAACCTGGAGCAAAAAGAGATTCAGTTTTAGGTGTCTTTTGAAATAGCATACAATCCTCTTTCATTTCTGGTGACGTGCAAGGAACATTTTCCTAATCCAAAACAACTTTGGCCAGCAACTAGAAATTGTGTAGAAAACAGAAGGGAGAAGCATTAATTGGAGATTCATCTCCAAAGAATCGAAGAAAAGCACCACATGAAACTCATCATATTGGTTTCTCTTCTCAACCGTTAACATCACATCCTGTTAACCATTTCTATCCCATTTTATACCACTAAACCTAGAAAAGAATTGTAATTTTCAGTAAGGTTCAGTCGGTCAGTATTTCTGTTGATTAAAAACATTCAATTTACTAAACAATTGGTAGAAAAACAACAGCAAGAACGGAAACGTGAGCACTAAGAAGGGCTTTTGAGAAGTTGTATAATCGTAGGGACAAAATAATGAAGTAGTCCTCTTTTATCCGGTGGGGAAGAGAATTTCTTGATCAAGGATCTTGGACGGGCTATAACGTTATATTCTAAATTAGAGGAAATCATGACAAAAAATACAATTTCTAATCAATACAGAATCAATCCCGAAACTAAAGGGCTTTCTTCACTTGAAAAAAATCGGGACGGTCCTTTTTAGCAGCGTCTACATCCTCTGGAGATGCCACTGCAACCACAACTCCTTTGTTCTTAACTGCTTCCATTACATCCGAAAAATCTTTGAAGTCCTTCAAACTGGCAGAAATATAAAACAATATAAGAACAACAAATGGTTTCAAAGGTCAGAATTAAGTTCAGTACAGAAGTCGTATCACCAAGTTGCCCAGGTATACATGGAATTTATCTGCAAAAAGATCCATATTTTTTTATTCTCTAGTACTTTTACAAGTGAATGCCAGAATTCAAGGGCAACAATGAGGCATAACCTAATATTTAAGAAATGTCTTAAACAACACATTTACGGAGACTAGTCTGTGGAGCACCAACGACACAGAAAATCAGCTGTGTTCAAACTTTCATTGATTCCAAATTCAGAAAAACGTTTTGGGATCAGATACATTATTCTGCTTCATCATTAGCCACAGATCAAATGATCAAGTATTCGTAAAGAGTAAAGATTACGTGTTCACCTAGTAGATAATATTTCTTCACGTCTTCTTTGTCTTTCTTCCTCTGTGATACCCAGTAAGTACCGCAACATACTGCAAATTAAATGAAAACAATAATTGCACATTTTAGACGCAACTACTAATAATTCAGCAAGTAATCTTTGCTTGGAGTGTATTTGTGTCTGGTCCAGTCTCTGGTTTGGTCATGGAGTGGCAAAAGAATCAAATATCCATAGAAAACAGGCTTCGAAAGCATCAACTATCTCATAGACATACCTACTATAACCTTTGGCATCCGGAAGTTGATAAGCATCTACATCCCCAATGGTTCCAATTATGGCTTTTGTCAAAGTGTCGTCATCTATTTGTAGTTTTCTTAAGAAGTCACCAGTTCCATCATATACATCAAGTGTCTTCAGCAAATTGGGATCACGATAAGATAAGAAGGAGAACACTCCTAGAAGCAGAAAAAGGTAAAATTACAGGGATGTTTTTTTAAAAGGAATTTAATTAGACTACAGAGACAGAGTTAATATTTTTTACATTCATCCAATGGCAGATTGAAATAAATGGTAAATTAGTTGAGTCATACCTAAATCGTTTCCTATTGTCTGATAGTATAAAAGTTGCACTGCCTATATAAAAATTAAATTATTTCAATAATTATTTCTAATGTTAAATATAGTTCAACTTGCCTGAGTGAGTATCAAAATCACAGAAGCCTCCGTAAGCTCCACCACTGACACGTACCCGATCCCACAACCATGTATTGCTAATATATTTGGAAATAACGTATGCACTCCCATTAAACTGATAACCAACATCATAAATGTTGGCTGCTTTTCCGACATAATTAACCTATAGAAGAACCACCGTGTTATGCTGATAGAAACAAATTAAAGACAACAGGGAAAAATGAAAAAAATTAACGCCTAAAATTATATTATATTACCTGAGTGACAGAAATAAACATAAAGCATAACATTATATTAGATTACCTGAGTAGGAATCACAATAGCTTCATTTGTCAATGGATATCTAAAATTACGAGGAGTTGTTGCAATGGGAGAGCTAGTGGGAAGCTGATCAACAAATTTGCTCACAACTTTCTCAGCGTTTGCAAGGTTTTTCCTATCAGCAGTGACATTTACCAAGCAGCCTTGTTTGGAAAATATAGATTTGCGAATTTCCTCAAGAGAAGATGAGATATCAGCCCAGTCTTGATCAACTTTCTCTTCAAGAGTTTGGAGGAATTCAAGGTAACTGGAAAGAATAATCAATTAATATATAGGTATACAACAGGAATTATACTCAGTTCTGTTTCAATAATAAAAAGTAGAGTAAAAGGGACAATCATGAAATTTCAAACCTTTAACATATAATAGTAGTGTCAAAGTTGTTAGGACTTTCTCTTTCAAAAATTTAAATAATTCTTTTAGAAACTAGGGACATATAAGATCACATTCATCTAAATCTCAGTCTTATATTTTTATCCCCTTATCTACTAGTTTGAATTCTACCTATCCTTCTCCTAAACTACATGGTATAGAGCACAACACTCTGATCCAGTAATCCACCCACCATGGCGAAAACAACAATGGCCAGACAATATAGGTCTGGGGAAACTGAAGGAGTTCCAAACCCTAAAGCAGCTTCAATAATGGATATAATAACACAATTATTTATATATGCACCCTTGCAGTAGGTCACAAGAGTATATAGATTTGCCAACCTTAGACCTCCCATCTTTTCTGACATCCAACCTGTTGCATTTAGTTTTGCATCCATCCTTGCAGCTGCAATTCCGTGACCACTTCCTCTTAACCGATTCTGACAATAGACAAAAGCACAATATAGATAATTAGTATAGGGGCTTGTGACCTTATCATTGTTGTGCTCCCTTTACATGAAAATTTTCACTAATTACCTCCATTCTTGCTCTACTCTGGGAAACAAATTGTTTGAAACGCTGTTGGTCTGTAAATTGGACATCTTGAAGAACAGAATTAACCTAGAGCAGCAGCATTTAGGATTTGCATGACCACAATTAAAAATTCTAGGCTAATTTAGTGTGTTGAAATTAGAAACTTTTATATAAATAAAAGTACCAAGTCATAAAGGTCTTCAACACATCCAGCCATGGCTTTGCCTCGAACAACCATGTGACTACATGGATCTTCCTTGCCCCGCACTGATGATGTGAATGGATAAACTGATATTCCTCCAGTTTTCCTCCCAATTAATTGGTTTAATTGGACAAAAGTCAGGTCCTTCGTTCCCATCTCTAACAATGATTGGCTGTCAAAAATAACATGAGAGTTACTGACAATAGAGCTTTATATTATTTATCTTTCAAAGTTGATGCTGTTGATTTTGATATACACATAATTACGAAGAGGAATTGAAGAATCAAACATCAAAAGGGAAGACAAAGATTGATAAATCCTTAGATTAGCTATTTCGATGTAAGTGTTAAACACTTTAGTCTCTTAACTATCTAAACTTTCAATTAGTCCAAGACATTGCAAGAAGTCATTCTGGTCCTTCTCCGCCTCATTTTTTACTTACTCCAAGGCCAAAAGGAATGACATTTTTGCAAAGTTAGGAACTAAGTTTGAATTGTCGTTTAAGGGGCTTCAAATGGATATTCCCACTTTCTCAAGCACTGAACATAATAGTAACACGGGCTGACCCTGGGGATTCGTCAATTGACCTCAAGAGCAATTTTTTTTTTCAAACAAGCACTAAACAATAATCTGG